CAAAGCCACTGTGTAGGTAAGGGCATGGGTACGGGGAGGGCAGCTCAAGGCTCCCTCTTAGGTCTGAGTTAAAATCCATGTTCTTTCTATCACATTGTGCTAGAATTCTGTGAAAAAGGTAGGCATCCCAATTAACAGATGGTATGACTGAGGTACAGAGAGTGATGGGACTGTCTCAATTTTGTAGTATATCAGTATTTTAGGCACCAGGAGTAAAATTGAAGTTGTTTTTTGTTTGTTTGTTTTTCGAATAGAGTGCAATATCAGACTAGGGGACAGGGTGTGAAATAGAATCCTTTTGTATGATAACTTTATTTCTGTTTGATGCCCACAGTGAATTATCAGGGTTTCCAAATAGTGAGGTTTTAGAGAATTAAGCTTGTTGTGGCTATATGTATTTCATATCAAATTCCAGTATCACCCTTGGTGCTTGCTAGAGACGACCTCAGAAGGAACATATTTTATATACTAGAAATTAATGAAACTCTATTTTACCAAACCATGCATCCTAGGCTTCCTAGCTTCTCACCCTCTTGCCTCACAATATTATAATATCTGAGGTATGAAAGGACCTTATCTTGGACTTTATTTCTTCTTACAAGAAATAAATTTCTTATTTGGAAATAATTTTTAATTCTGCACAGCACTGTACTTCCTCTTGCTTTGGGAAAGAATATTTTCCTTCCAAACTTCCCTCGTGCTGTTTTTTTTTTTTTTTTTCATCCTCTTTATTTGTGTTGGCTTTTATGAAGCCTTCCGTTCTGCTGAGTAAATGCATTTGGCTTGGTACCAAATGAGAGTCAGCACTTAGCCTAGAAGTATCGTTTTTCCAATAAGACAGAATAAGGGAAACCCCGCCTTTTACACCCACTACTAATTAGCATAGGACAAAATCAAGTTGTTGCATCACTGGCCCATCATTTGTGAATTTCTCCTTCCACAGCTCTCATTTCTGCAGAGAATGAGTTTGAGACACATGGAGAATATGCCTCTACACCATGCAAGCCCTCCAGGAGCACCGAGGCCATGCTGGAAGCCATGGGCCTTCTCAGCACTGGTTATTGTGCTACTAGTCTGTTCCTTCAGCACAGTAGCCTTCACTCTTTTCCCATTCAAGGTAAGTAGATAACAGTACCTGAGACTGCTATTGGTTATAATCCTTTTGTCTTTTGTAAGTCTGGTGTTGTCATTACCACTCAGTATTGTTAGAGCTAGTTGAAAGGGACATGGAAGTGGAGATAATCTAATTTGTCATGGCATATGGCTTTAGAGGCTTATCTAAGGGCCATGAAATGAAAGGTATTGGAAAATGCTAAATGTTGGTGGCAGAACTGAGTTAGATGGAGAAAATTGCTTAATTAAATTAGCCATTTGACAGATGCCTGTGGAGTACTTTTTCCCTTTTTGGAACTTTGCTAAATAAATCCTCTTGGTGGAATGAAAAGGTGTAAAATATAATACTTGCTCTCAAGGAATGAGATGCAAGCTCTAGTCTAATGGAAGGAAGGGACATAAAAAGATGGTGAAAGATGGGATAAGGTAAGTGACAGGTGGTTAGTGTATCTTTGAGGAGGGAAATGGCATTGACTAGGAGTAAAAAGGTCTGGATTCTGGTTCTAGGTCTCCCAATAACTAGCTGTATGAATTCTCATTCTCAGTTTCTTTGTCTGAAAAATGGTGGTAGGAGAATGGATTTATTTATTATAAAGTCCCTTCTAGCTATAAGATACAGTGATTTATAATTCATCTAAGGGTGGTATAGAATATAAATGCTTTAGAAGTTCAAGCGGGGGGGGGGGGGCAAAGACTTTGGGCTAGGGTGATCAAGGAAGGTTTCATGGAGGAAGGGTGAAACACATTCCTAATTGGGAAGCCCCTGATGCTTATCAGGAATTTCCCACTGAGCTCCAGTCCAAGTTGTGGGTCTAGTAAAGAGAATGGAGATCCTTTAGGTTATTATTAGAAGTTTTTCTAACTGTTGGCTGCATAGCACTGAGCAAAAAGAAATTAAAAAATGCTTTATGTCATTTAGGATTTAGCCCATTTTTAGGTATGTTTGAAGATTCTGAGCCTTGGGGAGAATAAGGTGATACATACCCATTTAAGAAAGGACTGTGATGTGAAATCAGGAACTGCTGAAACATTTTTCTTAGGGAATTGGCCAGCAAAGATTTCAAAGATACAGTTCTCCAACTTAAGATATTTGAAAGCAATGGAGAAAAAATGTAGGAGCAAGCAGTACACTGTAGTTGATGTTGAGGCAAGTGTAGCTTTCCCCCAATAGCCCATTAGTCAGTATTGCACAGGGATAGACAAGTATACAGAGGCATTTCCAACCACATCTCCACTCTCTCAGGGAAGGTATCAAGCAATAGTCTGAATTTTCTAGAGCAGTGAAGCTTTGAGCAGAAAGAAGAGAACTGTTAGGAGTTCTGCATGTTTAGATTGCTGAAGAAGGGGAAGGATGAGAATATAGCAATAGCTTAAATTTGGAAGTGCCTTTTCCTCCCCCAAACCACCAAAAATCAAGTCTCATGAGCTAGATGGCTTTGAAGAACATAGGACATGTTATGTGTCACCCATCCCTGCACATGAATGAGGATCCAATGCATAGAAGAGGGGGAAAATACCTTTTTTAAAGGCACACAGTAGCTCTTACAAAGGGACAGAGGAATTTCAGGGGCATGGAGGATTCGATACCTCTTACCAGAATGGAACTTGACCAGTTTCATATGCTTGAGCTCTGATTCTGGATTCTCTCTCCCAGACAACCCATAGCTTCTCAATGAATAGTTCTGCCCCTAAAGAAATAGCCCAGAGTTTGTTCCAAATTTGGAGATGTTTCATACTGTTCTGAAAGGATGCCATCATGGTGTATTTCCTATGGCAACAGCCAAGGGCCTGGTTGACAATACCAGGTTGTGTGCTCCACTTTCCATTGACTGCACTGCCCTTTCCTTATTGACCACAAACAAGTATACTTGGAAAAGAGGCCTGAGTAGCTGGCGGAAGGTGAGTCATTATGACGGGGCTGCTTCCACCTTCTCACAAGACCCATGAACCTTGGAGTTTATTTTAATCTGCACTCTTGTTTTTATATACAACATTCCACTTCCTAGCTTCCCCAGGCACTAATTCACCAAGCTTTAGACAGGAATATTGGCTCCTTCTAGACCAGCGGTTCTCAACCTGTGGGTCGTGACCCCTTTGGGGGTCGAACGACCCTTTCACAGGGGTTGCCTAAGACCATCGGAAAACACATATATAATTACATATTGTTTTTGTGATTAATCACTATGCTTTAATTATGTTCATTTCTAACAATGAAATTGGGGGTCACCACAACATGAGGAATTGTATTAAAGGGTTGCGGCATTAGGAAGGTTGAGAACCACTGTTCTAGACCAACAGAAATTTCTTTGGGAGAACATTATTTTCATTTCCCCCCTTCTTCTTTCAAAAGACAGTCAACTGAAAAGGACTGCTATGAGCCCAAGCAATTTCAACAACTCCTCAGTGAAAATAGCCTCACAGAAGTTGTCCCTAAGAGACCAAATGTTCAGGCGGGTCCCCTGCTTTAATGAAAAGAAGGATACTTCAAAAAGGGGAAGTTGTGCTTCTACTTAAAAGCAGAGTAGATTCTGTTTCCAAAGGATGATCTGATGAGGGTTGGTTTGGAGAAAGAATTATTGAACTTTGGCCATTTGAACCCAACTATGTGAATCTTGGCTTAAATCAAATGGGGTTACAAGAGCAACTGACCCTCTTCAGCAAAAATGAACTAAATTCAACCAAGCTGAAAGCCCCATATGCTTCTTTAGAAGTGGATATTTGCTTCTTCCAGATATGACCAGAATTATAAATAGATACTGCCCCACAGAGACCTGTGAGTCAGACAGGCTCTGTTTGGATCTCAGCCTGGTTGGCCTCTTATCAGCTGCATAACCTTGGGCTAGTTACTTAATCTCTTTCATACATTTCCACACCTGCAAATGAGCATGCTGCCAATTCTCATTTTATAGAGTCGTGGTAAGGATTAATGAGACAGAACAGTGCCTGACCCATAAGTAGCCTTTCAGCACATTGTAGTGGTTAATATTTGCACCATTACTATTAATGACAGTACAGTGAATATAAATTTCAAAGGACTTTAACAATGTCGGTATTCCTTGCTTATCTATTTCACTTCCTTCATCAAAGACTACCTCTGCCAAATACTAGTAGATGATTTTTGTGACTGGACAGATTTTCACTGGTGGTAGTAATTAGAGAATGTCACAACGGTGGTTTCTGTATCTTATACTAGACATTACAGCAGTCCAAGAGATAGTCTTCAGGATGTCTGTCTCTGGCCATTAGTCTATGACGTTAAGCTTCTCAACACTCTTTAGACATGAAAGTACAGAGCACAGATACTATCTACGGCTCTTACATCAGCATCCATTTATATTTAGATTGTTACGCAATTGCTCCATGAATGCAGTCGTCTTTCTAGAAAGATTATAAACTTCTTAAGAAGCAAGTGCCATAAATTACTTTTGTTTCTCCTGCTTATAATGCTGTATAATGTTGGGAATATAGTTGCTTAAAGTTTTATTCAGTTCTTTATTATAATCAGCATCATTATCAATATAGCTAATATTGAATGAGCAGGATTTAGACACAGAATATCTGGGCAAAGCCCTTCACAAGAATAGCCTCATTTAAATCATGACCAATTTCAATGAGCTAGATGCTATTATGTTTCTCATTTTACAAATGAGGAAATAAAAGTTAAGGGACTCCCTATCACATGCCTATCATGAGTTAAACTAAATGGAATTTCATCATCTCTTCTAAGAAATCCCAAGATGCAGAAGAGATAATTGCAAAAGCGAAAACAAACACAGGAATCTAGTGATTTATTATAAAATAGTGGCTTTCAAACGTTTTGATTGCACCCCTCTACTGAAATAAAAATGTTTTTTACTTTGATTTCAATCCCAAAATATATGCTATTATACATTATATCCAAGTACTAACACTATGTATATTAAAAAGATACACAAAATAGAAATTATAAGGGTGAACCAAATAATATGTTTAATGTAGTTTATTCATAGTGCAAAACCATCTTGCTTTTACCAAAGTATTATATTTTATAGAATATGCTAATATATAACAAATACTTCTAAAATAACTAATATTTTAGTAGAGTAATTTTTTCAATATGTTACTTTTATTTTCTTATATTAGTTTAACATTTTATGATACAGTAATTTGAAGGTTCTATTCTAAGTTAATGTACCTTGATTCATGGTTTTGCCTGCCATAACTAAAAAAAATGACCTCACAAAGAAAAGTAGATCAAAATGGAAAAATGCATTCTTTAGTGTGCTTATCATGCTAAATTTCTTTTTAATTCTCACCTGAGGATATGTTTTTATTGATTTTTAGAGAGATAGGAAGGGGGAGAGAGGTAGAGTGAGGGAGAGACAAAAACTTTGATGTGGAAGAGAAACATAGATTTGTTGCCTTCCATATGTGCCCCAACTGGGGATCGAACCTAAAACCTAGGTGTCCTGATTGGGAATTGAACCTGCAACCTTTTGGTCTACAGGACAATGTCCACCAACTGAGCCACCAGGGCAGAGCTAACTTTTTAATCCCCATTCAGTGTTACAAAGTTTTTATGTTCTTAAAAATTTAAATAAAGTTGGTATTTATTCCATTCATGCTTTTCCTTCCTTCCTTCCACAACTTAAATTCCATGGTTTACAATTATAAACCTAACCTTGCATTAACCCACTCACTTTTTTCTCTCTCTTTCTTAATTATATTCTTCAGGTTTTTGCAACACTGAAGTCCCACTTGAAGTTAGTGGCCATAAATTTAAATTAAGACCTTTCAACAAAGTCTTTTTCCTCAGTTGTATTCAACTGTGAAAGACACAGAGTAGCTGGATTTAATTAATGTTGACAATTTTCCAGGATGGGAAATTTGTCAGAATATAATTTTCTGTTCTCCCTTACACCAAAATCCCTCCAATTTATTTTTTTCTCATTTACTTTTCAACTCATTCAAATGAAGCTTCTGTCCTTATCACATCGAGGAGCCTGCTTTCATCAAGGACCCCAGTGACTGTGCCACACCCATCTGTCAATTCTTTGTCCTCTTCTTTCTTGACCCACCAACAGCATTTGACATAGCTGATCACTCCTCTTTCCTGAAACACTTTCTTCTCTTGGTTTCCAAATATCACACTACCTCTGTTTCCTTTCTGACTTACTGGTCTTTCCTTCTTAACCTCCTTTGCTGGTTCTTCCTCATTCCCTGACCTCTAAACATTGCAGTGTGCCAGGGCTCCTCCCTATCTACACTCACTGACTTGATGATTTCATAGTCTCCAGTCTTAAAGCATCACATGGTAGCTGAAGATTTCAAACTTATACCATCAGAACTCCTTAAATTCCATCTTCACAGATCCAATTGCCTACCTGATTCTCCTACCTAGATATTTAATAAGCCTCACACACTTGACATGTCCCAAAGCAAACTCATGGTTCTTTCTGTTCCCATAATTTACTCTTCTTAAGTCTTGCTCATTTGAATGATTTCAATGACTCAAGCCCCAAATCTTGGAGTCTTCTTGGACTCCTCTCATTTTCTCATCCCATATTCATGTCAGGACCTCTGTTGGCTCTATTTCCAATCACTTATCACCATGTCCTCTGCTAGAACCTTGGTTGGAGGCACTGTGATTTCTTGCCCAGATGACTACAAGGATCTCTTAGCTTGTCTCACTGCTTTTTCCCTTCCCTCCCTTCATTTATTCCTAGCAGACAAAGAAATCTTATAAAAGAAAAATGTGCAACATCTTTAAGTTCAAAAAGTCTTTTAAGTACTTTGCCATATGGCAACCAATATACTTTACATAGTACAATTTTTTTATTATGCTTTATCTCACTACAAGTATTTAAAGCGTGTAAACTGTGGTATGTTGCAACAGTTTGAAACTGAGGTCTTCTCAGGGTATTTCAGTTATTATATATGACACGTGACTGTCTGGATATTAAACAAGGGTGGCTTTATTGACCTGAGTTATAAATATTTCTATAACTTCTAACTATTTCAAATAAAAATAAACATAAATAGAAATTCTATTACTTTATTCTCACATGCCAAGGGATCACCTTGTGTAAACACTGGGGTGTGGAAAGTACTGTTTATGGAAAATTTCTATAGCCTGAGAGAAAGAGAGTTCAAGATCAAATAGTTGTCCTGTGGGTAGAGGTTAGGTGGATGGAATGAGACCTAAATATTTGCCTAGAAGGTTCAAAAGGGTAACTAGGTAATACAAGGTAAAGGACGAGGCCAGCCATCTGTAAAGGGAAGCTGAGAGAGACTAGACAGGGTGGAAGGAGGAATTTTTTTTTTTAACTTGGTTAGCAAAAGAAGTTTCCTTCAGGAATATGAAGCTCTAAATAAACCAATTAAGAAAGTTGTGACATTGTCATTATCCTGACCAATTTTTCTTTTTCTTTCCCTACAGGCAGTCAGTGAGCCCTGTGTAGCTAAGTTTGGTAAGTAACCTGTTTTGCATGCCTTCTTTTTACTTTTCTTAGTATTTGATGCAAGAAGGCACATTCCAATGCTGTTGAGGAAGCCTTTATCCTATTTTATTCATTTTTCAGCTACTATTTATAACTGCTCATTATGTGCCAATCAGTTGTCTAGGAACTGAGGATTCTTAGGTCACACAGATAGACCAGCATGAAGCTAATATCAAGGTCATATCTCTGGGCAGGAACGCATATCACTCTTACAGGCCTGGGAATCTGAGATACAGGAACCTACTTTTAATACAAGGTTTTAATAAACACACTATTCACATCTCTACAATTTTTCTCTCTGACAAACCTAAAGTCCTCCTCACATTTCACATATTGCCGGTGTTCAGCAGAGTGTGTATGTGTGTGTGTGTGGGGGGGGGTGCTATTTTTGTTTCTAAATGTATAGAAGAGGAATGAGTGTTGGGGGGAAGGAGTGGCCACTTCCTCTGCTCCTTTTTCTTTTCCTCTTAGTTCCTGAGTCACTTTCCCTTATAGTGACCTGGTATTTGCTTAGGAAACACTAAAATATACAGTTAAATTGAACCTTAGAGTATGTCTTAAAAGACATAAAAAATAAAAATAAATGCATTTTGGGTTGTTTATATGTTTTAGGCCAAACCTGCACTTTCAGCTGAGAGAGAACATTTCTAGAGATAACTACAACCCCTGCTTCCTGTACAGCGCAAACTGCCAGGCTCCCCAGGCTCCTGGGAATTAGGAAATCCCTTTTCACTGGTCTCTGTCTTTGTGATTAGTTTTGCTTTTCTAGTGAATGGAGTAAAACTCATGATATGTTTGAAATTCCCTTTTGATGTGGTAAAAGTTGAGGACTTCAAGTGGTGGTCTGTGAGTGGCCCCTGTCACAGAATTAAATAAGAGAACCAGTGACACTTATTCCTGGTGACTTGCTTGCCCATTGACTAGGTGTACTACATGTCAAGCAAGAGGAAATTTACTGGGCTTTGGGATTGCCCATACAGGGAGACTTTGCTTCTTGCTCTAATGATCTTTCCTTTATGATCCTTCAGAATCTATCCTCAAAGGTGTATATTATTCATATACGTATAAATAAGAATTTAAGTCAATATGTCATTTCTTCCAGGGTATTTTCTTTTTTTTTAAAAAAAATATATTTTATTGATTTTTACAGAGAGGAAGGGAGAGGGATAGAGAGTTAAAAACATCGATGAGAGAGAAACATCGACCAGCTGCCTCCTGCACACCCCCCTACTGGGGATGTGCCCGCAACCAAGGTACATGCCCCTGACTGGAATCGAACCCGGGACCCTTGAGTTCGCAGGCTGACACTCTATCCACTGAGCCAAACCGGTTAGGGCCCAGGGTATTTTCTTATCAAAGTTTTTTCTACTTATGAGATAAAGGCTTTGCCCCCATAGCAAAAATTATGGAGAATTAGTGAACAGGCCAGATAAGTATTTTGGGTGGTAAAAGCATTTCCTGAGCCTCTGAAATCACACTTCTATATGCAAACAATTAACAATAGTAAAATATGTAAATTCCATATATACCTATGAAAATAAATCACTAAGTCTTGACCCTTTCCCCACCCCCTGTGATAACATTAAGCTAGGGATACTTATATTTAAACAGTCAAATTATTTCCATTTCTAAACTGACAAATTTACCCAGTAGCTATTTTTGGAGGGTTTGGCTAGTGATATCTCAAAGGGTTCTTGAATGATATATACCCATAAACTACAGATTCATGAGGAAGGTCTCATTGATAAAGTGACACATAGTAAATAGTACTTACATAGAAAAGCATGAACACACTTCCTGGACTGCCGACCCTGGTTATCAGTCCTGGTGCATAATTCCTCTCTCCCTCTCTCCTTTTTTCTTTCTTTCACCTACTGATCAACGAGAGATATAATGCCACCTAAAACTTAACCCCCTTTCTCTGTTCCAAATCCATTTCCTTGGAATTCCCCAAGTACGTGAAGCATTTAGGATTTGCAATTTTTCTAAAACAAGGAACAGCTAGATACTTAATATACTCAAATTGTGGCTGGAGATGATCAGTATAGACCAGGTAAAGAAACAAACTATAAGGGGGAAAGAAGTATATAACCAGGAAGATGATGGAATCATTAAATGATGATGCTTTCCATTTTCCCCCTCCCTTGTAAATTTCTTACAGGACCATTGCCTTCAAGATGGCAAATGGCATCTCCTAAGCCTCCTTGCGTGAGTCAGATAGCTGACTGGGAGCTGAAGATACTTCGGGATGGCTTGTATTCCATTTATGGCGAAGTGACTCCCAATAAAACCTACAAGGAACCAGCTCCTTTTGAAGTGCGGCTGCGTAAAAACAAAGGCATCATACAAGTTCTAACAAACAACGCTATAATCCAGAATGTAGGAGGGACTTATGAGTTGCATGCTGGAGATATAATAGACTTGATCTTCAATGCTGAACATCAGGTTCTAAAGAATAATACGTACTGGGGGGTCATACTGCTAGCCAATCCCCAATTCATCTCCTAGAGTCTTGATTTGGTCTCCCCATCCTTTTCAGCACATGCAGAGATCTGGTGGGTGGGTTGGAGGAGGCAGATTTTCAATGCCTACAGTTTGGGTACACAAATCAACACAGCAAACAGAACTCCTCTGCAGATGAATTTTCATCTCTCATGGTCATCGGAAAGAGACTCAGAGGAAGGACCAAAGATATTTGGTTACCCCTGGCATTGGGTTGGCAAAGACAGTACTAATCCATAGTAAAATGAATATGGGTGGTTAAAGAGCAGAGGCTTCTCAAAGAGTCTGTCTAACCTTTGAATTCCTGGGTGGAAAAATGAAGTCTTATTCTCATGGGAGTCTTACTTGGTATGCTAAAAGGATCCAGCACTGTAGCCTGGACTTGTTCTCATATTCTTGGACTGTTTCACTTTATTCTTCCCATACTCGCAACTTCTGAGACCCTCCTAATAAAAAGCAGTCAGACTGGCAGGGTGGCCTCAGATATGCCAACAACACCCCTCTTTAAATGCAATGATATTAGAGGATAGAGAACACTCTAGAAAGATACTGGGATAGGGACACAGGTGGCATGGAATGGAATGCACTTTATTTGGGAATTTCCCTTGATTTCATTCATCATACTCAGGATACAGGCTACTTTACAAAGCCAGTAGGTTGAAGAGGTCATTCTGAACCTTCACATAGGGTTTCATGAGAAGTCGTTGGTATGTGTGTCTGAACATTGTCAATGGTAAAGATAGAGTAAGCTTTAGTAATCACAATATCTCACCCAGAAATTGGTACTACCAATGCTGGATAATGTCCTGGAATGATTTCATGTATTTAGTTGGCTATCCATGGTTTATAAAGTGCTTTCGCATATCACATGGCAACTCTATAAAGTTAATGGGGCAGGTATTTGGGGCACAATGAGAATACGAAGGCAGATAGAGCATAAGTAACTTGTCTCAACACACAGAACTAGTGATTAATGGGGCCAATAGGCTTCCCACTGCATCACCGCCTTAGCTTTAGAGTTGGTATTTCTGCCATCATGTTACAGATGATAAAGTTTAGCAGGTTCAATTTTCAGGAAGTGTACTCCCGTTCAGCCCAAAGTGGGCGGAGGAAAGCTGTAACAGGTCTTTCCTTTCTTGACAATCTTCTTTTCCTTTCCCTACTTGGAGCAGGGGGCACAGGGGTGTTGCTCAGGGCTTACTCCAACCAAATCCCCTTCCTCACTTTGAAGAGCCTGTCTTAGTCAAATGTGTACAAACTCAACTCAATGCCAGCCTGCTAAAGTTTGGAACTCTGTTCAATTAATATGCTACTTGTGGGTTCTTTTTGATAGCTATATAATATGATTATATGTTAACCAAATTTAAAATATTTATGGATATTTATATAAAGCTACATTATGTTAATTAATAGTGTCACATATAAAGCTAACTTAAGTATATTTGTATTGTGTATAACAAAAATTGCTCTGGGAACAGGTTGAACCTGAGGCCAAGTTGTTTCTTAGTAATTTTCTAAACACCATGCCTTGTCCATCTTGCATTTGTGTATCTTCTCAGGAAATTAAAGTTATATCACATTTATTTATGGAAACTTGGTGGAATTGATCGTTATTAATTTATAAGCAACAGTCTGCTGGAATGGGTTGGCACTCATTTGTGAGAGCTGATGGTTAAATTTTTGGAAGTTTTTCAATTTGGTTATTAAATATTGCCAAATTGACCATGGTGGGGTTAGTTATACCATGGGAATTGGCAAACACTACCAATCAGATTTGTGTGTGTGTGTGTGTGTGTGTGTGTGTGGTTTGTTTGTTTTTGAGAGCCCATTTACCAGCACACCACTGTTTGTAAAACTCTCCTTCTTAATGACTCCTCTTTGCTTCTGCCTCATTCCTGAGGCAATCAAGGCAGACAAGGGAAAGAGTGAAATTATATTCCCAGCAAAATCCTCACTTGGTAGTGATTTCTCAGGGCGAGGAGAGGTCTCCTCAGCTACAACCAGAGAGAGAACTACCAACAGATGATCTTCGGATGGCCCTGGGGTTGTAACTTCAGCTTTTGTTTTCAATGCATACTGTTTCCTTAAATAGTTACTTATCTTTTAAACCTATAATAAATTGTATCTTGGTAAGTGGACTGTGATTGACCTCTCTGTGGCTTATCAGACTACAGTTAGTGAGCTAGAGAACAGGAGGACACAACTGAAGATTCCTTGTGTATATGTAACACTGCTTGGCAAGTGTTAGGCTGAAGTAAGAGCTGGATGCAATTAGCTTTTGGTTGTAACCCAATATCTAATAGGTTAGTGAGACAATTTCACTATCTGACTTCCACCCACCTCAACTCCACCCCACTCAATCTCGTCATTAATCCTTCTCACACTAATTGTTATTACCTTCTATTTTGCCCCATCAAAACTAACCTATAGTGTGATACATCCCTGCAGGGTTAAGTCTCTGCTTCTGAAGATAGCCGTTAATTGAAAAGTGATGTAGTCTTGGGCATTTGATGGAGAAGACTAACTCCTTAGAGGAAGTATATCTGTATCTTGAAGAAGAAATTCCTGTATTTGTGTGTTCTATATCAAAAAAGCAATTTCATTTGTAGGGGTGGGAGGACATTTTTTATGTAGAAGCAAAAACCTGACTGACTTATGGTGAGGGGTCTGAGGACTGGCTTTAAGTAGAAGTTATAAATGATGCCCTGACAGGTACATTTTTCCTGATCTGAAAGGACATCTCTATATTTTGGGGTCACTCCACTGGTCATGACTCTCCTGTGAGTCCCACATCTATCCACAGGAAATCTGTGCACATGCCTTGGCCCTATAAACTCAGAGAATATGAGCTCAATGTGGCAAGATTCTCCCACCTCTACTGCCAAGCAGTTGGCCTCTCTCCCCAGATTTCCAGGTGGAGTCAGACTCTAAACTGCTGATACAGGCACCAGTTCTCTATATCTCTATTGCAAGAAATATATTTCAAAGCTCTTTTTAGGTCTCCCTTGAAGTCCTCCTAGCAGGCTTAAGTTAGAAAGTTTCACTGCTTTTCATCTCCCTTGCAAAGGGCATGGGTGAGGACTCACACATGGCCATAGCTCTCTTTTTATAAATGTTATCACAACCTCTCCTTCTCCCCACTCCTTTTAGGATCTTGGTCCAGCTGAAGTATCCTAAGAGCCGTGGGGAAGGGAGCCTCATTCCTTTTGTGAATTCTGCACACTGGTGGGGGCAAATGTCTTACTCTCATTTTTATATCCAGGTACCCATCATATTATGCCCGAGTAAAACTGAGTCAGGAAGAGTCCCACTCTAACATCCAATGATCTGATTCTAGGTCTAAAAGGGATCTGGGAGACCGCTAATAAAATGTAGAAGTACAAAAGCCCCAAACCATCATCACAGGAGCAATAAAATAAAGGCTTAATGCAAAGGCAGAGGGAGAGAAAATTATTATTCAAAAAAGTTAGACTTAAGAACATATTTACCCAGCATGCTTGAAAGAAAGGTGATTCCTATGCCCCCTTTACAGTCTACTGCATAAACATGTTTAGGAATGAGGCCTAGGAATCAACTTTGTAACCAACTCTGACTCACAGTTATTCTTATGCACACTACAGTTTAAGAATCACTGCCTTGTGGCATGCAACTTTATTTCTCCAAATATTTAAAAAGTCAAAGCTTCTAAACAAATAAACAAAATAAAAAGCAAAACAACAAAAACAAAGTTGGTGATGCCCATGATCTCACCATAACTCATCTCTCATCACAAAAGCAAATGGCCTTCTATCCTCTATTGGAATCTGAACGAAGGTCAGGCTCTTCACTTTTCATAACTTAATGGCATCCTTGTCACTTGAACCTTGGCCATCTAAGGCATACAAGCCTTGCCACAACCAATACCACATTATCTACCTATCAACTCTCAAATATTTATCTCTAATCCAAGTTGCTCTCCTTTCCCCCAGACTTACATATCCAAATATCTGCTCAACAATTTCACATTTGAGGTATAATGAACATCTCAAGTTCAACATGTCCAAAATGAATCTCTTAGTTTCCCCAAACCAGCTTTTCTTGGAGCTCCCGCCCCCATTTTAATTATATTACCTGGACTAAAAACATCTGAGTCATATAGTCACTCTGGACTCCAGCCATTCACCCATTTATCCTGTGAAGAAGTCATATGGTCGTTTACCTACAAAGAGAATCGAACTCTTTTCTGCTATGACTTTTGGTCCATGCCACCAAGATTATTTCAGTAACTTCCTAACTGGTTACTCTGCTTCTACCTTTGTGATCAAACAAACTTGTTTTCAAATCCCAAGTTTTACCATTTACTACTTATTTGGATCTTGGAGAAAATATCTACCCTGAGACTCAATTTATTGTTTGTTTTGTTTATTCAATGCCTGACATATAGTTGAAATTTAAATATTTGCTAAACCAAATAATAATTTTAGAACAGATTTAAAATATCAACCAATATATGTAAAGTTCCTGATACATAGTAGACATTAAAATGGTGGCAGCTACTGATTTTCTTTTTATTAAAAATTTGGATTTATTCCTACGTTTTTGAACTTTGTTGTTTTTTTCCATAGAGATGTTTATTTAACATCTCTTTTGTTCTATCTCCTTCTCAAGAAAAGGTAAGGCCCAAGATAAAAGTATTTTATTTATTCAATGCTCTATCATTAGCAACCAAAATCATACTTGGATCACTGAAATAATTCATCAAATATTGAAGGGAATGAACAAAAAAGATGTGACCCTGGTTCCTGGTTAGAATGATCAGCAAGACATATGTTGCAAATAGCCTCTCAAAATGGTGTGCTCACTTCCATTCCTCTAGGTTTTTAAAAACTAAGTACAGTAATACATGAAACATCCTAGGTATCTACATCAAAAGTGCTCAGTGAAAGTTGGCTGCTATCCCCGTTGTACCCATACCACCATACCATCATGATGGCCATCTTTTCATTATCCTTGCTTCTCTAGGAAGTGGCATCCTAGAGCCCATTAACTTGCTTTACCATAGGAATGCTTTCACCAAATTTTAAGTGCCTTTGGCTCTTATTATATACTAAAGGCCTGGTGCACGAAATTCGTGCACTGGGGGGTGGGGGTCCCTCAGCTCAGCCTGCCCCCTCTCACAGTCTGGGAGCCCTCAGTGGATGTCCTACTGATGGCTTAGGCCCACTCCCCATGGTGAGTGGGCCTAAGCCACAGTCTGGCAGCAGAGGCTTAGAGCAGCCACCCCGTGTGTGTGTGTGTGTGTGTGTGTGTGTGTGTGTGTGTGTGTGTGCCCGCCCCTCTGTGTTGACCTCTCAGGCTCCTGGCCGCGCCTGTGTGTTGTTCTCTCCCTTGAGCGGCGGCCAGGGTGGGCTGGAAGCTTGGCTT